ACATCGCAGACTGATATGAATTTTGATATATAATTTATTTTAAATAATTTTTAAATATTTCAATTGTTTAAACATCGTATATTACTTTTAATAATTTATTTATAACGATTACACTACAAGTACATTTCTACAACAATTCTAAATATTATTTAAAATTTTTGACAAATTATTTATAGCTTATATTAAATTAAATATCCAAATTATTGTACAACAATTTAAATGATTAACTTAATATAAGCTATAAATAATTTATTAAATATTTTAATAAATTTCGAACAGTCCCTGTCGCCGAAAATATTTACGTTTGTAGGCAGAATTCAACGTGTATTGTACTGAAAGTTTTTTATTAATATTTATGACGGACGTCGCACATATTCTTGACTTTATTCGATTAGCAAAGACATTGATATAAATAAATGAAAATATCTATTAACAACCGTATCGAAATATAAATCGTTATAATTTGAATGATGATTAAAATAAATAGATTTGTGCAATTGTGTTTCTGTCCAGACAGAAATTAATATTAATTTTAACGAGAATGCCCGTATTGTTTAAACACTTGTAAAAGAAAAAAACAGAAAATCTGAAATCAGTCGTACGGGTTCGATTTTTGTAGTGTTAAAATAACAAAATTGTTTACACTATTATTTATAAAACTTCTATAACGATAGTTTTAATAAATAATACGAATTTCTTTACGTATTTCTCAGAAATTATTAAATTCCTAAGAAATTAATCCAGCTAAAACATTTTGTATTTAGATTCTTCTTCTTATTTCCACAAATTTCATCTTAATCGGCGGACAATCGAGATCCTGTGATTTTTCTTTTTTAGATTTTATTAATATTGTTAACGCCAATGACGTATAATTTCTTGCACAGTTAGCCAGGACACGAGCAAATTTCTAGAATTATTTTTGGCGTTTTTTTCCCCTCCCCCTCCCGCTGAACAAGAAATCCGACCGTTTATCATGTTTACGTTATTACCCTTGGAACGTTTATTATTGCAAGCTTCAGTTACTAAGATACGAAAGTCTGTTTTGATGTTTTCCTCGAGCAAACGGTTGATTTCGAATTCCTCGGCCGATGTCGTCGTTGGTTTAGGCAGGGGATAGTCGGGGGCAATTAACCGTGCTACATTTGAAGTGATTGGCCAGCGCTAGCTAACGAATTTCTATAAAACAAGCTCGCACGCAGCGAGAGAAGCTATTCGGTAGTAAGCTACGCAGAATGTTGGTTAGACAGAACTAGTCATACGGAACTATAACAGTTGTACAAGAATACGCAGTAAGTATAAGTCCTTAGTATACCGTTTCGTTTTATCGACGTTATCCATCTTTGCTGTCGCCATCGAAATCTGTCGTTATCGCTTCAATCGCGAGCTCACATGTTTCCGCGATATTTCTTTGAATATTATTTAACAATTTGCAACAGTCCAATCGTTAGTTTAATTCTTTCGTACGTTTAACGAAATATTCGCAACAATCACAGTGTGAATTAATACAGTTGTAGATCGAAAATTAATACAATGGCGGTGTGAATTTAGTTTCTGTAAAAATTATAAAATTTATTATGAAATTTATTATCGTAATGAATCAGCGATGAAAATCTAAAAATTATTAAATTGTCGATTCCTGTAGTATAAAAGCCGAGAGTGTTTCGAGAACGAAACAAGGAGCGTCGATTGAAATTCGGCAACGACTTTCAGCACTGTCGAGGACAGAAATTAAATTATTTGACTTTTCCGTGACATTGACAATTTGAAAAATCAAATTCACAACAATTAAATCGTTTCGATTCGTCGATTTTACTATTTTGATATTTTAATTTTAAACTTCTTTCTTTTCTTTCTTCGTAATAATATTTAATTATTTCATTTATTTGCATCATTTAAGTATTTTATTTGAATAACGTGTCTGAAAGTTGTTTAAAATTATAACAATTCGTGCGTGATAATTAAACTAATTTGATGTTTTTTTACGTTCAATTAATAGACGTCATTTTCTGTTTAAAGTGATCCTGTGAGGAAAGTGCGGACCATTCAAACTGCTGCTAAAAGGAAGGAAAGAGTTTGAGAAGCAGGAGCATCAATAGATATTCACGATTTTGAGACGAGAATTCAATACAGTCAAATCTTATTCTGTAATCCTGAGATCAACGATCGCGGTGAGTCACATGTCTTGATTTCTTTTGTGTTCAGTTAATATTTGAATATGATTATTTGAACTCGAGTACGAGTTCAATTGTTATGAACTTTTTCTTATTAGGTCATATGTCCAATTGTTATGAACTTTTTCTTATTAGGTCATATGTTCAGTTGTTATGAATTTTTTCTTGTTAGATCATACGTTCAAAGTTTCTACGTTTCTGATTATGTTTTATTCTGTTTTTAAAATATTCATCATTTATTTATTAATTTGTTTATATGTTTTTATTATTTATAAATTGCTTTCCTCATCACGATTAAACTGTCGATATTTATGCAATTTGTTTTAAATCTATGAATATAATTAGAGAAATGAAGCATAAGCAGGAGGTTATTCCAGATGTTAAATATTATATCGAATATCACACTTTTTACATTTTATATTTTTACTATTTTACACTTTTTGCATCTTTGTATCTTCAAACTTTTGTACAAATGTATAAAATTTCATAATTTATTAACATTACAGCAGATACTTACACAACATAAATTTATAAATTTCTCTTTCCGAAAAGTTTCAAAACAATAATTTTGAAAAGGATTAATTTGAAACGAAGAAAAAAAAACAAAACTTTTTATATATCTACATATTATAAATTTTTATATTTATATATTATAAATTTTATAAATTATATATTTATATATCGTGATTATTTTGAACTGATGATCACTCAGATTACTTACGTTGATTTTCGATTATAATATAATTATCTTCTACATAAATTATCGTCCAGTATACCAATTGAATCTTCGTACACATCGCGTATACATCGACAGAAATCATACTGAATCACACTGAATCATACTGAACTAATAAAATTTCTTAATTTTCTAGTTACTTGAACATTATTTATTATTTATAACAATAAAACGTTACCTAAAGCAAAGTGTAAGATTGAATCATGTTTTCCCAAATATGTCGAAAACTGTAAGATCCGCAGTATAATTAATTTCAATTTTAATTTTTATGGGTCAATTTTAATATCACGGTTATTTAAAACTTTTTCTGCCGTTTGTTTTGCAAAATGATCGAACTGAACAGTTTGCAATCGCATGTCAAATGTTTCTTTTTATTTATTTATTTATTTATTCTTTTTTTTTTTTGGAAAATACTTTATATGTTTATATGTAAGAAAGTTGGTCGAGACGTAATGGGTCTCCAAACGCAGCAACCTCCACGCGGTGAGACTTGGGCAATCATCATTATTTGTTATATAACTACTAATTGCTCCACCGTGTGATAAAGCGATGAATCATATAACAAATAATATGAGCCAATAGGCTGCGGTCGCGATTATTCAATTAAAACATTTATACTTTAAGCAGTATTTTCATTGATTCTTGAAATTTTGTAGTAGTTTACATTTAACGATAAATATTCGACCTTCTTTTATATTCAATTTGTTCTATGAATATATTCATCATTTTTTAAGAAGATTTTAAATTGAAAATGAACTGAATTATCGATCGAGTAATTTGTACATGTCGCGCCATCTGTTAACGTACTGCTCAACTTGCCGGAAAGAGTCGATAAAACAGTCTGAGCGGTCGATACAAATTGAACGATCAAGTTCTTAGAGATTGACTTTCAAAATTAAATTATATTTTTTACATGAATTAATAAATTAAGCGTTCAACATGCTCCCCATGAGATGTCAAAGCTTGAGGAATTTACTGAACTTGAAATGAAAATCCTATCGTCCGAGCGACTTAATTTTTTCCAAGTACTTTCAAGCGTATAATTATTGTAAAAAAAAAAAAAAGGGGATTCAAGAGTCACAAGGGATAGGGACTGGAACGGAGAAAAAATAACACAGTGAATCGGTAGTACGTTCTTTCTTGTTTGTTCAAAATTTGTTTTCTTTATTTCGTAGAAAACTGCGTGATAAGTACACCAATAATCTTGCACTGTCGAATTGTTGCCGATTCATACAGGGGGCACGAAGGGGACTGTCCGGAGCAAGTTCTTTCAAATGAATTATGCTTACTATTGGTCAACAGTCTTTTATTCATTTATTTTCTTCTTTTCTATTTATTTATTTCTTTTTTTTCTAATTTTCGCGCCTCTCCTGGTCCGAACAGCCTCCGAGAGGCCCGAGTTATTGTGTTTTGCTGTTGCTAGCAAGCCAGAGCAGTGAACAACGAACATCATTATTTGTTTTCTTTCCTATGTGGTACAATTGGTACAATTCTAGTGTATAAAAATCGTTTATTTTGCACGCGCGTGTCGGATACACGTCGGAAGGGAACGCGAGATTCGACGCGCGATCGAGACACGATTAATTGACGAGAAACAGAATAGAAGCAAGAAAGAAAAAAAAGAAAAGAGAAAAAGAAAAGAAGAGAGAACGGAGTGTACGCTTGTCACGCGCCGTTTCGAATCTCGCGCCACTTCGAGCACACTCTTTGCAACGCGGCTGGCGCGACTTTCAAATTACGTAAATCGTTTTCCATACCTTTCTTCTTTCGGATGACTCGCTCTCTTTACTTTATGTTATTTTTACTTTATCTTTATTTATTTAGTTACTTTTTTTTTTGGTAGAAGCGATCTACTACTTTAAATGACACTGTTTCTACAACATCGATCGATTACCTTGAAAAAAGATTCTCCAATTTGCCGCTCGCATATTTTCTCTCTCTCTCTCTCTCTCTCTCTCTCTCTCCTCTGCTCGTACATACATCACGACAACGGAACGATGATTGTTCGACTCGAATGACGTACATTGGCTAGTGGTTCTTTTTATTTTTTTTTTTCTTTCTTTTAATTCGTTAATCTCTCTCTCTCAGTCGCGCGATATTTTCCATTCTCTCTTTCTACGCACGCACGCACGCACGCATCCCTGCTCTTCTCCCGGTACCATTCCCTCTGTTCAAGATTTTTCAATTATTTCGGTTTGATCTCTCGTATCGTGATTCTTTGTCTGAATTTCTCATCGGTACCGGAAAACTCTGTCCCATAAGACACTGCGTCCCCGAGAAATCACGAGACAGTCGACAAATTTTGATTCTCAGACTTCCATCCATCATATCAGTCTGCGGGTCTGTGTGCATTTTGTTTCGTGACAATGTTCCTGCCGATCTAGCGTATATCCCCCCCCCTTTTTTCCTTTTTTTTTTTCTCTCTTTTTGATCAATCTCAAATGAAAAAAAGGAAAACATAATTTACATACACGACTGTGCTGTTGCTGTGTACCTTGCATAAGTTTACCAAATTACTTGCAATTTCTTTGCTGAATCGCGCTCAACTGTTTGCCAATTTTCAAAGATTCACCGTCAACTTCGCCTAAGATTCGTATTTGTTCCACTCGTAAAGAATTGTCTGGACCTTTCAATTTAAGACAATAACGTGACGTGGATCAGTAATCGGACAGTTCTCAATTTGATCATTTCATCTACGTTATACCCGACTGAAATGCAACACTAGACACTTTGTGCGTTAAGTCACGACAATTATCTATGTGAATGTACATCCGGGGAAGAGAATGAGCAACGCAAATGATGGTGATCGTTTTAGTCTTGCTTCGAGCTTCGTCGTCAGATTCCCAGAAAGTTTCCGTCGAATTATCAGTTAAGCTACCTATCATAGCTTGTCTACACGAGGCTTTAATTTCAACGCCACAAGTTAAATCCTTCAAAACTTCTACTGCTGACTTGTTGAGAATAAATCGATTGATGGTTTTCCTAGATGCTCATTGTAACGTTCTTCCTTCTCGGATCTGGAGAGTATTTTACTAATGTTACTTCTGTGAAGGAACACGTGATCCACAGGTGTGAACTTGATGCCCCAGCATCGAATGGCAGCTTATTGCAAAGGTGGTGGTAAAAGCATCAAATCCGCTATAGTTTGCAATAAAGTATGAATTACTACGATTGGTAATTAATTAACAGTTTCACCTGCTATGACGAGATCGCTTAGGGGATGCTCGCATACATCGATCATTTCATGGTCATCCTTTTTATCGGTTTTATTATCTTTATCGAATCTAGAATTTCAGGCGGCACTGTGGGTGTCAGAGAGGCAACGAACCACCATAGCAAATCATGGAGGCACACACTCCTTAGAAGCCAATTTAATGCTTGCATTAGATAAACTCTGCAAGCAGCACGGTCTTAACGCTTGCTTCATTGCAAGCTGCAGATGTTGCAAGTTATGGTGTTGCAGAACAAACAACATTACAAACCTCATGAGGATTTCTATTCTGTCGTTATTCGTAACTTCGTCTTGACTCGTCGAGACAATTGCCGATTGATTCATCGATGGTACTAACTGATAGTATAAAAGAGACGAGTCCAGCGTCAGTATTCATTTCGCTGCTATTGTTGTTTCGTTTTTGGATAATGACGACTCTGCCATCGTTTGAATTTCGTGTCCAAAAAGCAGTAGACATTGATACAGATCGATGGAATAATTCCTTTGCCACTTTCGCCAATATCCCACTTTCGCTGTCATTATCACTTATAGGACATTCCAACAATGGCCTTCCATTCGTAGTATTAGGGCGTTGCCCCCATCGTAGGCACGAATGGAAAACGTCGAATGGCTGTGAGATGCCAGATCGCCACGGTGGGACTAGACACACCAATCTTATCGACAATAATCGTAACTGCGAGAGAGAAGAACACGCTGATACAACGTCGAATTTTGACAATAATAATAATAATATTAATCGATAGAAACTTGGCGGGCGTGGATCGTCCCGCGAAATTTTGGAACACCTCGTTAAATCACAAAAATTACGCGCCCGTTATCGTCACTTTTCGGCACTTTTCGCGTGAAACGGGGAAGAAAGGACTCGATGAAACGACTGATCCAACAGGGCGCGCACCGCTCGGTATCAATATGACTAGATGGATCGGAAGCGATCGGGATTGAAACCGAACATCTTTCAATTGTTGATCGTTGGTTCAATTTAGGACGCGACAATCGATCAACCCCTGAGAGCTCCCGAGCAAAGACGTACACACGAAGACAACGAAGAAAACACGAACAGATTATTCCTAAATTCTTTTCTCTAGATTTTTGTTGTCTTTATTCCTCGCCTAGACCTTTTACCGGCTAAAACATATAGTCGAGATAGACGTAGCAATAGACTTTCTTTATAGATTTTTTTTTTTTTTTTCCCCCTAAAGTATAATTGATACTAATCGAGACTAATCAAGTCAAGAAGAAGAAGATACGACTATTAAGTGATTTTTTTCTTTTTTTTTTTGAAATATTACCAATCGATAGTCGTATAAACTTTCCGATTATTAAATAATCGCGGCGAACTTTCAGAGCATCGATCGTCGGATCCAGCGAGCTCTGATCTCTGTCGAGAATATCGCGACAGATCGATTTCCTTTGCTCGCCTCAGCTGAACAACGAAAGTTCGTGCGTCCACGTTAAAACTGCTAAACAATCGCCGTGAATTCACGGTAAACGCTGAACCCTTTCTCTCGAAAGAAAAATCCGACGAACGTCGAATCGATCTAATTCGATAACAATTCGCAATAATCTCTCTTCTTTTCGTATTCTCTATTCGCTTTAGTTTAACACCGAGAGTTGCACAAGACCCCTTTTTTTCTATTTTCTTTTTTTCTTTTTTTTTTTGGATTTAGTCATACTTTCTTGTATATTTTCGACTTCTTGCACGCTCTGTTTCCTCTTTCGTTCAAATGTGCGTTCAACCATCCACACAGACACGCGTATGCAATCAATCGCGTCTTCTCGTCGATTGCTCTCTCGTTCAATCGCGAGGGGACCGCGTATTCTCTCGTTAGTCCGCTATTGTTCGTTTCTTCGATTGACTCTTTCACACACACACACACGCGCGCTCTCTCTCTCTCTTTCTTTCGACTCTTTCACGCTCGTTTTTTCCTGCTTTTTTTTTCCTTCATTCTGGCAATAACGTTCCTTTTTTTTTACATTAGAGAAATTACAATTAATCTTCATCACCTAATATTGCATGCGCGTGAACACATTTTTCTCTTTACTATTATTACAGTTCCCTCTTCTTTTTCTCAAATTATTTGCTTTCGGTTTCCCCGTACGCCGACGATGGAAAAAGAGCTTGCGTCTCCTCGAGTGTCGTGTGTAGAACTGCCCGGACATGATACACTGGTTCTGTACATACAAAATACTTGCGATTTCGCGCGTGCGCACACACAGAATCACACTGACTGATCGGCATTGATTTTTTTTTCTTTTCCTTCCTATTTTTTAAATACTTTTCGATTCTCGTCTCTCCTCTCGAGAAAACGAAACTCTCTCGCCGTTTGGTACTCAAACGGAATAAAATGCAACGAATGTTCGTGAAATGTGGCTGCGGCATGGAAAAGAAGGCTCGCGAGACGAGAATCGAAAAGAATATGGCTATTCGGTAATTACTTTGCAATTTTTATCTTTTCCTTCATACTCTTTTTTCTTTCAAGTGTTACAATGATTGATGACTTCTCGTGAGATATATCGAGTTGCTTTCGCTCTGTCCCCGAGGTCGAGAACCGAAGTCGATACCGCCATATGCTCTTAGTAGTTACATCGAAGATATTTTTCTTTTTTTTTTTTTTT